CAGCAACTGTGTTGGTTTTTCCTGTTTGTGTCACGGCAGAAGCTTTGATGTGTGTTGCTCAGAAGTTAGTTGCTACAGCACCCATCCTTCATCCTCTTGTGGTGCGTGTTTCTATCTCAATAGACTTACGAGTTGAAGAAACTTTTTTTTTTTTTTGGTTAAAATTTTGCCATGAAGGATTTATCCCCATCCTTTTCTGTTTTTTGTCTTGCATAATGTATTCTGACCTCAAGGCTTAAAACATAGCTTCTGAAGAACTGTAGCAGAGTTTGGTGCAATTTTAGAAAGTTTACAGATGTGCCACTGGGATTTGCTGAAGTTTTGTGCTTAATAATTTAAATATTGCTATTTCTGAAGGTTTTGTAGAACTTAGGCTAGAGGCTCTTGGGATCATCTGATCTGACCTGCATATGAATCACAAGCCAGTAACTTGCATGTAGTTATTCTTAAATTGAGCCTAAATACTCATGCTGGACTAAAGCCTAAAGATGTTTGACCAAAGCAATCTTCTAGAAAGGGAACAACATCAAAATAAGTTGAGTTCCTTGGGTGTGGAGCTTCGTTCCCTAATTATCCTCCTTTTTTTTAATCCAAGTTCATAATGAAGATCTTTCTGCTTTCATTTTCCACTGGTTTTGTTATGCTGTGTGCTAGATTTGAGAAAGCTTTCAGTACTTTTTCTTCTCTCCCATGAAGGTAAATGTGAACTGCAGATGCCTCCTGGTTTTTCTTTTTCATCAGCTAAACAGTTTGTATTCAGACCCTCATTTGAAGGCATTTTCTGCAATCCTCCAGTTATTCTTGTAGCTCTCTTCTACCCTCATCTGAACTTTATTCTTATCCTTTTAAAAAGTGCAAACTGAGGCTGTAGTCATTCTTTTTGGTCTCAGTAACGCTTTTTAAGATCTTGTTTTGAGATTTAAAATCTTGCCTCGGCTCTAGCCCGAGTCCAAAACTGAACTGTTTTATAGTTTGCTTCTTTTTATGGCCATATTTGAATGCAACTAGTGTGGATTTAGGAGCTAAGTTTCACAGTGTACAGGGTGAATCTCATTGTGAGATTCTGGTGGTTGTCTTAAACTTCAGCGCAGTTATGTACCAAATTGTTATATGCAAAATCTTTTTCTTGGAGAGAGAGTGAATTTATGACGACGTGATGAATCAGAATGCCCACTATAAATAACAGTTATTTTGGCAAGCTAATAAGTAAAGAAGAGAATGCAATACTAAGTATATTTGCATGTGTTTGTAACTCTGGTCTTGCCCAAACCCTACAAAATTGTGCGAATTCTGTTAGGCACATGATCTCTTAGCTGAAGTGTACTTGGGGCTGACTTTGCTTTGGCTAACCAAAACTTAGATTTGATTTAAATATACATCTATATAGATCTATACATGTGTATGTATACATGTATTTAGAGACACACACCTTTGGTTCCTAGTCTTGAGAAGACAAACCTCCTGAAATTTTCATGGGGCATCGCACTGGTCAGGTCTTTACAGAATGGGAGGTATATTTTGCATAACTTAACAGTCCTTTGGAACCAAAAAAAAAAAGAAAACCTGGTATTTGTACTATGAAAAGATGTAGGAAAATATTCCCCATCTGTTTATCTGTAAACAACATCTGCAGTGAAAGATTTTTGATTTGGAATGTGTATGGGACAGCGACTTTTTCTTAGAAGCTGTTTTTGGAGTACAGGGTAACTGTTGGAAGAGGTACTCACTTTAAATCTTTCCTTTTTAAGGCTCTGATGAGTCACGGAGCAGACTGCTAGCAATGGAGAAAATTTTTCTGTAGATTTCAATAAGTGTAATTCTGGCTCTCATTTTCTTCTCTTTGGAATAGTAGCGTATTGCTTGTGTAGTTTAAATCTCTTTTTATCTTCTATTATTACAAATTATTACCCATTACAAAATGGGTAAACCTTTCTTATTGTGGCTCTTTTTTGTGGTATTTTTCAGATACTGAAAAGAACTACTGATAACACTAAAGCAGTGTGAATATATTCTTTTCTTTAGGATGGAAGTAACCTTTTGATGGATAAAAAGTTATCACCTGTGGTGATGAGTTACTAGCTTCAGATATGTGTCTGTCATTTGATCTCTTTCTTCTGTTAACACAGTTTCTAATGACAGTTTTGTAAGAATTTGTTGCTGGATCCAAAAAAGGCATTTATTTTCAAGTTGTGCAATAAATTAAGATGTCTAAGATCAACCAGAGACTGAAATCTTACTCACGTGTTGTGAAACTTCATCCGTTCTAATGCTCCTGTACACCAGCAGTGGTGGCATGGAGTGGTGTGGTCCCACATTCCCGTTTGCCTAATGCTTTTTGCTGGAGGAGCTGGGAGTGTTGGAGTTGCGTGTACACACCAAACAGCGCTTTCTTCTGCATGCAAGCCCGTGAGACCTGTGCTGTTCCTCAAAGGGAGGTGGGGAGCCAGCCTCTCTCAGCAGCACTTGTCTTCTTCTGGCCACCTTGTGCTGGGTAACCCGTCCTGGCAGGCTTCGTTGCTTCTCATACCCATGTTCTCCTCCTCTGGTTTTTGTGCAGGCAGTTTGAGGAAGACAGGTGGATGTGTTTGATGGCTGCCGTTGCTGAGGAGGATGTGAGAGAAGGGGTGTGGAGAGAAGAGGATACGTGGTGCTTTGTGGGGTTCAGTGGTGGGAAGGAGCCACGGCCACTGCCTGGCAGTGGGTAGCTGCCTCTCCCGAGATGGTTGAAAAGCCTGGGTCTATGCCCTCTGCAGCTGCTGAGGTTGGATCTTGTTGGCCTTCTTTCAGCTCCTCTCCGAAGAATAACAGTTTGTCCGAGAGCCAGTGCTTTTTTTTTTGTTAGTTGGTGCTTTTTTTCAGAATGACTTTTAAGTCCTCTGTTGCTTTTGCTCTTATGCAAAAGGCTTCTGCATAAATAGTCTTTTATAGCACAGGAATCTTAAACAGTTGCAACTTGACTGCAAGGTGTGGTAATTGGTTTTCCTTCCTTTTTGGTGCTGCGAGCAGACTGTAAGCCTCTGCCGGGTTGTTAGTACACCCCGAGCAGGTAATTTTCTAGGCCTGAAGGAAGGGAATACTCCTCTGTTTAGGGGCAGTGTTGTGTAAGCTGAGTTCAGTCTCATGTTGCTCGTGCTATTTTGTTGACTGAATTTGCATCGCTGTAGACTTGTAGAAAAACTGTCTGTAGTGGTTTTTTTTAAAAAGGCATTTTTTGTTTATAGTGATGTATTGCGCTGTTTAATAAAGGAAGAAGAGGATGATAAAAGACAATGTATTTTGCCATTTTAAAATGCTGATTACTCTTTATTTAATGAATTGCATCTTGAATTCAGCTTAATGGAAAAACTATTCTGAAATGGAAAATTATCTTTACCAGCACTGTCTATCTCAATGGTTGATTTCCGCCCCCCCCCGCCTTCTTCTCTATATCTGAGTAAGATGCAGAAAATATCAGGGAAACGTTCTTTCTCATTCACAGTCCTTTCATGCCAGAACTCCTAGCAGTAAGATGACCTTCCTAGAATCTTCTCCAAGCTTGGCTGCAAACTATGATTTCTGGGAGAATCAAAATTACTTTCCCTTTAAATTCCTAGTTTTCTTTTTCCTATGTGGCTTTGATGATGAAGATAATAATAATAATAATAATAATAAGAAGAAGAAGAAGAAGAAGAAGAAGCCTCCTTTCAAACTGAGGAATTGCTCTTCTGGGTTTCTGCGTTCTTCCTTGTAAGTAGGAAGAAAGAAACCAAGAGAGCATAAGGAGGAAAACTACAAATAGAAAGTACATTTGTAGAGAGGTGTGTGGTCAGGAGAAAAAAAGCAGGGAAGTGTAAGACCTAGTAAATTAGTAAATAAAAGGGAAAGGGAGAGGACTATGGTGGTAGGTGGTGAAGGAACAGGGAAAGCTGTAGACAGGAGAACTTCATCCCTGGGCAAAAAGACTTTGTTGTTTTCATAAGACCTGGGGCTTAATTTCCAGTTTTGCTGAGCTTTCACAGAGATATGAAAGGGGAATGAGAGAAGTGTAGAAAGCCTAGGATAATCACAGAAGATAAACATATCAGTGCTCATACGTAGTCTTGCATAAATGCCTGCATCAAATGCAAGAGAACATGTATCTAGAGATCAAGAGAATGTAAGAGAACTGACGTTGAGATAGCCACACTGGGAGAGCAAGAAAATGATAAAAAAATGATGTGTTATTTTTAGTAGCATGCTTTCAAGTGGATGCAGGCATATAAGAGTTTTGATAAATGGGTAGTGGAGTGGAATTTGGGAACAAGTAATTTCAGTGGATTTTAGCCTTGATAGGGAAAATAACATTCATAGAAGTTTGTATAAATTGTGATAGATTCGAGTCTTTAATCTGGTAAATGTTTTTTAGGGTTTGGGTGGTGTTTTTTTTTTTTTAGATGTTGTCACAGCAAGGAATATATATGTTCATCTGTGAAGTATCAGGAAAATTCCAAGTTTTTGTAATCTTGACCATTTAAAACACTCTGACCCTAGACTTAACTTGTTTACATTCAGCTGCAATACCTACTTATTTTAATCACATCTAATCTTGGAAACCCATCTATCTAGAGGGTTGCGTATTTGTTTTATAATACTTAATTCTTCTATAATTACATATAACAAGCTGTGTTCCTGTGCTTAGCAGTGGCTTTGGGGCATGGTGGGAAGAAACTGATGGTAAATGGGTAATTCCTGACTACTTGTGTACAAACTTGTCAAGCTGCTTTATCTGTTTTAATCTGAAAGCAGCCCTTAGAACCAAAGTCTGATCCCAGAGATGTGTTGATGCAAATGATTTGCATTCCAAAAAGAGCCACTTGTGTGAAGAAGGATAAAAATGTGGGCCTCAAGATAGATTGTGTTTTGCAATAGCTGCTTAAGTATGTAAACTTGGTCTTATTAAGAAGAATGAGAAAATCTGTGTATACCTTTGGATAATCATAGATGTTTTTGTGCTATTCTTTCTTTCTTTCTTTCCAGATTTGAACATGGAATTCAACCCATCAGATCATCCACGGGCCAGTACGATATTTCTCAGTAAATCGCAAACAGATGGTAGGTTACTGAATTTATTACAGTGTTTGCTATTGCGGTTATCTCTAAACCCTTTGTTAGAATGCATGTGATAATCTCTTCATATATAATTCCCCTCCCTCAAAAAAAGAGGCTTTTAAAGGCATCATGTTAAAGTTGAAAGAAGTCACACCTTTCATTAATTATTTTGTGAAACCAGTAGTAGAAGGTACAGGCTTGAGTCCTGTCATGTCCTGAAATTTTAAGTTCCAAGTAGTTGTTGTATCAGAACTACAAATACAGATGAAGCTTAATATAATTATATTAAAAAAATATTTTTCCTAGATCCAAAATTTTCTGTGTAACTTTTTTGTTTTTTAAAAAAACTCTGGACGTTAGGCCAAGCTTCTGGAAAATGTGTGGGGAGTATTTTCTTGAGAAAATGCCAGTTTATATTAGCTAAGAAGACAGTCCAGAGTTTCCTCCAAGATAGTTGATACTGTACATGAGCTCAGTACTAGATTTTAATAACTAAACAACCCCCATCCCATCCAAACATTCTCTCTTCTTCTCTCGTTACGGATTTGATATAATCATGTACTTGTCTGGGCTATTTTTTTTATTTATGGGCAAAATGATTCTTCTGGAATTATATCTGTTACGCAAGTCTCTTGATAGATTTAGTAGAATAGAAGCCATTTATTCTGGCTCCTTCATTCCCTGTTGGACATGTATGACATGTTGTTTTAGAAGGAGGTGAATAATCGATGCAAACCACATTATTTTCTACCAAGACTTTCAAAGCAGTTTCTACATTGTAATTCTGACTGTTCAGTATGAACTCTTTGTCCTTCTCTCTTCTGCTTATAAATGCCATTTTTTGATTTACATAGTAAATTGCAGTGTCAAACACATCACTTAAAAATGATGTAGTTTTCACTTACTGTATATTTTCTGCTAATTTTTGAGCATGACTAGAACAAAGAGGATATACGTTTAGGCCCTAATTGAAGAATTGATTTTGTGAGTACCTCTTTTGCCCTTCAGATTGTCTGTCTGAATTCAGCCCTGGTTCTGTCAATGCCTTATAATGTGCGTTTGGATGTGATTTACCATTCTGATCTGGTTTGATAGTCTGTAAAATGAGTATGATAATATTGCCATAGTACAGTGAATTATGAAGATTGATGTCTATTTTATAGTGTTTTTATAGTGTTTTGAGACTGTATAATCCCATGTGGTTGCTACATGTTTCTCGTTACAGCTTGTTGAAAAAAAGGACTAAAAAAATCCCAAGTACAACAACTAAAATTTTCACCAGACCTGATGATTATTCTTATTTGTAGTAATAGTGGTTAATTTGTTATAGTATGTAGTTAGCTGTAAACATTTTTTTTTAAATGACAGTTTACATCCATGCTAGAGTTCCCTATGAAACTTTGTTCTAGTTTAATATGAAGAACATATTTTTGAGTTAGAACAGTGAATTTGGTGAAACATTATCAACAGGACTGTAAGATCTGTTCAGCTATCCTTGATCACAGTAGAAAAAATCTGAAGTCTATCTTGCTGTACAAAAGAGAAAAGATTCTGCAAACATTTATCTGCTGATGTATTGCCAAGAACCACCATTCTGGTGGGCCAAGTCACAGTAGTAAGGATTTTGCTTGGCTGTACTTTGAGCCTGTTGTGGAACCAAGTGAGCTGTAGTTCTCACAGTATTCAAGGATGTTGCCTAACACCAAAATGCAATAAAATCATTGTTAAGGGGAAAATACAAGGAGGTTTTAGGGCGTGTAGGGTTGTATTCTGACAACCAGCTGTGCAGCCTAAGTGACCCCCAAGACTTCCTAAGTCAGCCTAAAAGGGTGAGAGTTGAGCTGGCAATGTTGAAAGCATCGAACTTGGGCATGTAACTACCTCTCTTCATTACTTGCATAATGTTGGGCTGGCAAACGTTCCTGTTGACTGTAAGTGAAAATATATACAAAGACAAGAACTGCAGACATTTAGAACATACATATTGGAGTGAATATGGAGCTGAACAACATCAGGACTCAAGGTTTCATCCAGGATCTGGCTGTGACTCTTGAGTCTTCACCACGTGTTTCTGCAGCGGGAAAGGGCCAAGTTCATAACTACGTGCTAGAGTGACTTGGCAACATTACCTTCAGACAGTTCCACATTTGGCTTTCTAGTAGCCCTTGTACTCTTTCAACATCACTGGTAATCTTGTAGTACTGTCCTGGCATAGGTGCTTGTGCTTCAGCTGCTTGTGATCAACATGTGAGTGAAGAACAATAAGCTGACTACCCCAAATTCAATAAGACAGGACGTGGCATCTCTGGATATTACATGGTCTGAATTTCCCATTGTTCTGTGAAGCTTGGATGCCATGCTAAGTATCTAAACCTGTCCTGTCCCTCTCAGTCGGTAGTCTGAATGCATCCTTAATTACCTGAGAGTTCAGTGAATCTGTAGAAAAGTTGAAGACAGTAAATATTAATTCGATTCCAAAATAAAGTAGCTTTTCAAAATGCTTCCAACTCTTTGTGGGAATTTTCTAGGTGCTGAATCTTATACGAGTAATTCTCCCTGTTTAGGGAGCTCGTAAAGAATACCACCTTTTATGTCTTTGACTTCTCCGAGTGCTTTATGCAGGTTCTCCCTTGTTCACTGAGTTTGGCCTGTAAGCATGGTGGCTGGAAAGCCATGCACTCTTTAGTGTGTGGTTGTGGTTAAGCCAGGGTTTCCAAGCCTTAGCACTCCAATAATGTAAATTCCTTTCTTTATAATAGGAAGAGGGCAACGGTTGTTACTTCAGAGTGCTGGTAGTGGTCTTTCCTGTAAGTGGGTTGCAGTTGTCCACCTCTCCTAACTTACATTAGGCTTTACACATTGAATATACTGGCTAAATTTTGCAGTATCGGTGCAACAATGGGATTTTGAAATTGTTTTTATATAGTGGATAGAAGTGAAGTAAGCTGCACTTATTCTTTAACGTTAACTAGGACCAGTCTCCTGTCTCGGATAAAACAAAAAGAAATTATTTACAAACTCCCAAAATGCAAGACACTTCCATTAATGTAATCCTCAAGGATTTTTGGTTCAAGCCTGATACGGGTAACATTAGGATAGCCTACGGAAATTGCACAAAGAAAGTTTCTATTGCAGCTCAATGAAAAATACATGCATACCTATACACACACATGTACGTATGTGTGTATATTTCCTATCTCCCTTTTATTTCAGAATAATATATTTTCCTACTATTGCAAAAGTTCAACAATAACAATTGAAAGTGCCTGCAGAAATAGGAACAGATCGTTGACCTTAAAATGAGGAAAGCGACAATTTGGCAGCATCTCTGTCTCCACTTGAAGAGTTCCATTCCAACTTTCAAGTTTTAAAATGTTAGAAAGAAAGTAGAAGTTTAATTGTTTAAACGGACTCTAAATCTGTTCAGCTTCATTTTATCAAAACCACATGCTTGAAAGCCAAAAGGCTGGAGTTGCATTTAGGAGTTTATGCTACAAAATGATGGTTAATTATAACACTGCAGTCTGCTCTGCTGAAGACCATACTGTGCTGTGTGAGCAGTGCAAAGCATCTTTAAACTGTCTGAAGCCAAGTGATAGAATTACCTCTGAACAGTCATTTTAGCTTGGCAGAAGTGGTCTTTTTCCTTGTGCAATAATTGTCTTTCCCTCGTTTAAAGGGAGGGTTGTGATCATGAAAGAGAGCGGTTGTGACAAAGTGGGTTTCTGCTATGCCCGATTCCCCATCGCCATTCCTTCTGGCAAGAGCTGAGCCTGACGCTATGGCAGAGCGGGCCAGAAGCAAAAAGCTTCAAAAAACAAAAGCACAAAAGCACAGCTGCCTTCTTATAGTCCCTCACTGGAGAATCCAGGCTAACTGAATTTCTGTAATATCAGGGAAATAAGGGAAAAGGAGGTCAATGTGGTGCTCAGAAGAAAGTGCAGCACAAGCAGTGCTTGAGCAGGGAGAAGTGAGGGTGTGTATAAATACATTAATGTATTCTTCCCGAGATTGGAAATAGCAAACAGGAATGAGCTCTGAGTGATATTCTTGCTTTGGTAAATAGATGATTGTACTTTCATGGTGAATTGAACAATATAATGGATACAAGGGAAAATATAGAAGACTAAGGTAGGGAGAAAAAAGTGATTGAAATGGAATTTGTAGTATATGTGCAGGCTATCTTTATAGGATTTTGTCCATAAAAACTTTGTATGTGGTATAATTATGATTAAAACACTGTTAAATACTTAACTGTGTTCAGAATTTTAATTTTCAGTTATGTACTCTGTTAGGTTTACATGCAGCTTATCAGAATTGTTTACAGCCTGTACATTGCAATATGCAATTCTAGACAAATACGTTGGCTATTCTTAGAAGTGAGTATCTACCATAATTTTGTTGTTTCCCTTTAGATTACTTATGTTCCTTGCTGGTGATAAATGTAGTTTGTGGAACTTAAGTGTAGTGCAGTGTTTTAGCAGGACTTCAAGCGGTTTAACTATTTACTAGATGATCAGAATTTTCCTGCTGTTCCTGTTTGATTCTGTTTCCTATACAATGTCCATAATTGTGGATCTGAGCATGTACTAAGTGACATGGCTAACATCTGTCATGTGTGATTCTCCTTTCTGCTCCCTGGGAGGAAAATTATGTAAGGATTTTTTAAAGTTTTCTCTTATTTTCTTTTTGTTTTATGTCTGCATTAAACACAATTATTTCACAGTATTCACACATACAGCCTTGTTTATGTGAGATTGCTTGCTTATAAAAAAATCACAAATAATGGCTTCTCATCCAACAGGGAATGGACAGGCTATCCTACCATTATGAACACTCTTATTTTGCTAAGTGCATTGGGTTGCATAGCTTTCAAATCATGGTGCACCAAAGTGCATTTAATCACCTACAGCATGAAACCATTATTATTTTAATCCTGCAATTTGATTTATGTGTTAGTTGCCTCCAGACTTGTATCCTAAATGCTGTGGTATTTTCACTGGAACAGAGCTCCACAGGCTCTCTATGGGGTGAGTTAATTGGGAAAGTGCTTAAAAAAATTAAATAGAGTATATTTAATCAGCTGTAATAAGCATTTGCCTGACAATTAAGACTCTATACATCTATCTCCCTTGTTGTTGCTGTTTGCTTTCTGAATATTTTGGCTAATTGTGGCTTTGACGTACAACCCTTGCTTGTGGTGACTGCTTCATACTCACCAAAGTAATGTGTTCGTGGTTATATCTGACGTAATAGTTTCAGGCTTGCGCCTGATCATTGTAGAAGGCAGTGGTATAATGCATATGGTGTCAAGGCTCCTCTATGGGAGTTAGTGCACAGTAAGCTATGATGAGAATTTGCTAACTCCATGGTGTAGCTATTTAGGTGCTTTCATACCTGCAAGGCAGTGTAGGCCACTTTGCAGCGAGGTGCCTTGCACGAAGGCACTGGTGGCTCAGGAGTACCAGCGCAGAGAACTGCTGAAGGATGGCTAATCCCCTGCTAACTTGGACTGCAGTTTACTGCAGATTAACTTGCCCATGCAGACCAACGCCTGGCGAAGTACCCAAATGGATGAGAATTTTAATCCATCACCACACTAGTGAGCGTAATGCATTTATGCATACAGATACATGTTCCTTCTGTGTTTGATATATAATATACTTGATTAGTGCAAAAGCAATTATGATGTTGCACATAGATAGCCTCCTGTTCTTTTTATTATAAATGGTATATAAGAAGCTTAATCGGGAAAAATAGTCATGTAATATTTCTATCATATTTTGTGTTTTTGCAGTGAGAGAAAAACGCAAGAGTCTCTATATAAACCACGTAAGTGAAAATGCCTCGCTATGCAGCTTTCTCCTTGTTGTCTGTATTATACAGTAAATAAGAGTTATCACACATGATTTCCATGTTGGTGAGAGGGTGCTGATGCTTCAAATGTTTGTTCTGCATCAGGATCCAGAAGTATAGGTCTTGGCTATTGAGTCAGTGGAACGGATCTGCTGAAGACAGTATCATGCTCACAAGCAGCGTACATAGGTGGCTGGTGCTTGAGACAGAGCTGCACACATTAGTATGATTTTTAAAGTTATTACAAAAACTCTCAAAACTTTAAATTACATTTGTATGCAGTTTGCTTTCGCAGAGAGCTGCAGCATTTGATATTTACACAGAAGTTCTGAAGTGCCTGGCCAGTGTTGATGCAATGTAAATGTGGATTGACATGTGGTACGTGCTGAGCATGAAGATGGGGTTTTGATACGCTTGTGTACCCTGGGCATTTTTCAGTTCTCTTCTGTTTGAATCAAATTCTTGGTGAAGCTGAGGGCAAATCCCCAGTAGCCTGCTTTGAGTATGGGAGCAGGCTCTTTGCCCCAGTTAGTATTGTTTGCACTGCTGAAATACCTGGAACCAGTGTGGTTCCCAGTACGTTAAGCCTTGTGCTGAAATACCTGGAGTCAGGCCTCAGTAAAATTGAGGAGGGAAGGAACTAATTGTCTCCCAAATGGTATTTGCCTTTAGGGTGAAATGGGGAGAAGTTCTCAAACTGTTCTCTATCTGGAAATAAAGGCCACAATTTCATGAATCATTTTTAAGCCGGTACAGCTGCTGACAGAAGCAGATGTGGTTTATAGCCTCTGCATCCTTTTGTGCTGGGGCGAACCTTTGTGCAGCTCCAGGTAAACTGGATTGGGGCGCGAATGCAGGTTGATTCAGCACGGCTAAGAGCTAAAATGGATCTGCTCCTAAATGAGATTCACTTCAGGACTTGCACCGGCAGAAAGGCAGGGAGGCACGGAGGCAGGAATGAGCTGCTGGGTGGGGTGAGAAGGCAGGACTGCTTCATTTGTTGGCAGAACTGGTTTGTGCTGAGTGTTTCTGAAACTACTGCTTGGCTTTGAAAGCAAGCTGAGATTTTCAGTTTCCCAGTTAAGATTTTGAGAAGTCATGAGTTACTGTAAGGCTTATAAAAGCCTTGGCCCCACCAGGGTAGCAGATATTCTTAGTGCTTCTCACCTTCTATTCCCCTGTAAAACATTTCCATTGTTTACAGTGTGTGTGAGGGTGGTTTGCAGTGCAATTATATTGTTATAAAATTACATGTGAAGCTACTGTACTGGGTTCCTGTAAACTTGATAATGTGTGCTCAATAACTTCCAGCATGCTTTTTAGCCTCAAACTTGGGAGGGCTCAATCAAAAAAAAAGAATAATATTTAGACATTGCAAAGCAAGGTATTAGCTGAGTTTCTGTGACAGTCTACCTTGTGTCATGGACGAAATTCTCACGTGTCCCGAATCTCTTCATGTCATGTAAAAGATGAGTTCTGCATTAGGCAGGCTGCAAGTGGATTCCTCTAGCGGAAAGCACAAAGATGACTATTACAAATGCTGCTGGAAGCATGCTATGGCAAACCCTGGTATAAAATATTTTTAGGCAATGCTGGACTTACTGCAGAAAAGGGAAGGGTGATGGTATCACTGGGGAGTTGTGTTGTTGGGAGCTTATGCAGCTGATACCCTAAGCACGGTACCTTTTCCTAACTTCTTCTTTTCAAGTATCATTCAAAGCATTGGCTAAGGTTGCAGCAATGTAAACTTCCCCCAGTAGTCTGGTTTACTGCTACCTTAAGTCTGACTTACTTGCACTTACAAAGTACTTCAGAATTACAAAGACAAAAATAACCTTTATGAAGCTGAAGTCCTTACCATGGCTTTCTCTGTGTGTCCCCTTACAAGTCAGTTAAGTTTTTTAGCCAATACTCATCAATAAGCTATATTTTCAAATGTAGCACGTGATATTGAAGTTGTTACTTCAGCACACCTGTGAGTATTCATTCAGCACCTCCTAAATATTCAGTCTGCTAAAGCTGACGCACAAACTGGTGATCATTTTTGAAGTGGTTGCTGCCTTTGACTGGGAACTGTGTTTAGGTTTGTAGACTGCAGGGAACCATTGTAATTTTCCTAGACTGCCTTGTTTGAAGAAATGTGAGGGAATAGTTAAAATTAACAATTATATGTGACAAGTTTTTACATGATGAGCAAATTTATGATATACCCTATTGGCTGATCAGTTCTTTTCCACCATTTTTCAGTGTGTGCTAAGTGCGTTTCTAACAAGAGCTATTGCTACTCATCTGTTTCCTTGTTGATGTGAAGTTCTGGGGCCTCACATCTGCTCTGGAGGAAACAAGCCAGAGGACATAAATTTTGAAGCGTTGTTTTGTCTTCCTTTTACAACTCCTCACCATAATGCGGCACTCTTTTGTGGTTTTTCCATAACGTCATCTTTTTTTTTCCTTTTATAAGTCTTTTATACTTCCCTCCTTTTGTGAAAAATAACCAAGATGAGCAACAAAATATTTTTATCCTTTTGTGCACTATCTTACTGGTTATTTTGCAGGCAGAGTTGAACATCTCCCAGATGATCAGGGTGGCTGGCTAGCAAGAGAAGTATCAAGAAATGTTCTGCTTTTTCTTCTTTAACTGCTTGTCTAGTTCTGTGTAGTAATAGATGAGAACAGTAGTTTCTACAAATACCGTTTCAAAACATTACGTATGAAAAAATTAATTTAATGAATTAATACTGATTCTTTTTTGTTTAAAAATGCACTTTGTCTGCATGATAACACCACTGTTCTTTTCCTTTCTTGCTTGCTGTAGTTTGTAGAATATTTTAACTGGCTGAATAATTTCCTTTCATCCCCAAATACAAATAGGGGGTTCCTGCTTTGATTTAATGTGCTTTGTCAAGGGCTGGCAGTTGCCAAATTTCCGATTCACCTTGTCAGTAGGTGTGATGGGAGAAGCCAGCAGCTGTTCTTTTTTTGGGGTGGGAAAGGCAAGGGGGAAGGAATGAAAGGGGGGGTGACAGGGTGCTATGGAGAAACCATCATCTCTCAGTCTTCCCACAGAGCCCAGGGAGACAGGCGACAGGTTGGAGATGGTGCTGGATCCTTTACCTACCTGCAGTGTACCCAGAGCGTTAGCTTTCTTCCAGCCTCTTTTAATTTCTAAGCAGTTGCAGCAGACTTTACTTCCCTTCCCACTGAACTGGCAGTTGTTCTTTTTTGTTACGGCTTTAATGCTGCTTCGGTGTGCACTATCTGCTTAGTCAAGCTGCTGAGGGGGATAAAGATGCAGACTGAGATAGAGGCATTTCCTTTTTGAGAGGAGAGATTGCATCAGTGTCTCTGCCTATACAAGGAAAGCAAACAGGAAAACATGTTTTATGTTTTTTTGGGGGGGTGGATGGAGAAAGAGTGAATTTTTTATTAGTGTTTGCAGTAGCTAGTTCTTTGTACTGGGTGGTTATTTTTTTGTAGTGGAAAGGAGCAGGGCAGGGGAGAGAGAAGTTATTTTCTCCATCAAATTTTTCTAGAAATTTTCCCTTTCAGACAAGATGAGAATGTTTGCCGAAGTACCTTCTTCTCTTCTTGACAAGATATGCTCTTAAAGTTGAATTTGTGTTTATAAGCAGTAATATCCAGTAAAAAGAAGGGATTTTTTTTTGCATATTGGAATATTTCTGAAGGAAGATAAAGGGAAGGAAGATACAGGGAAGAAGGGAAGAAATATCTCTCTTCAGAATTTTTTTTTATTCTGGAGACTCTTAATCAACCTTGTAGCAAGTTTCCTTTCAGTATCGTCTTGTTTAGGGATCTGGACATGACTTGTGCTGTCTGCTACCCGGTAACTGCATGTTCAAATCCCAGCAGACAATTCTGTTTTTATCATTCCAAGTAGAAAAACTAACATCTGTGTACAGCCCAAAATTTTTTCATATCCTGGGGAAAAGTTCTTGGGCATCATTCATGTCAGAACCCCAATCCCTGTATGTGATGCTGTAGTGATTCACATGAGGGGCGGCTTCTTCCCAGCAGCAGTCTTGCTGATGGGGACTAGCGCAGAACCGAGGGGTCCTTTGCTGTATGTGGTGTGGCACGAGCAATTTCCGTGGGCCTTTTTGCATGCTTGAAATGATGTACGGTATTTGCTCCTGTATAGCCCCCGAACTTCCTTGACAGATTGTATAAAGAGGCTGCTCTGCTTACCTGTCATAAAACTACTATGCATGTGACTGGTTAATCAAACACTTCCAGCTAGTGATTATAACAGTAAATATGATACATGCTGAAATGGGAACATAGTCTGAAAAGTAGTTTAATCCATGAAAAATGCAAAGCAAAACATAAAATGTGAAATGTTGTTTTTAAGTGGACTGCCTGAGGCTGGCTATTGTAGAGGTTTGTAATTGCTGTCCAAATTCCAAAATAAATATTTTAATTAACATTTCTTACTCAGAGAGAAGAACAAGATAAACTGGAACATAGATTAGAGGCTTCTCAGGTGCTCTTGAAGCTCTCCTAGAGATTGCTTAATCTGGTCTTTGCTCCTCTCCATTGCAAGATCACAAAAAACCAAACCCACCAGGTCCAGAGGGGGCCTTTTATAGGCCATCTGGCCTATCTAGCAGATTCCCTATGCTGATGCCATTCCCGACAGATGCTGTTTAAGATGCTATTTCAGGCTTCCAATAAGTTAGAATGGACAGGTTTTCTGTAATGGCTTACCTAAACTTACTGTTTGAAATGTTTTTTCTAATATCTTTCAGCCCCTTGCTTCTTTTCCTCCCCTCTAGGGTGAAGAATTTTACCTCTCCTATCGGCCTCAAGGCAATAAGTTATATGAAGCGTCACACTTTTGTAGGGAGAAGAACAAAAGATAACTTTTAAGGTAGAATGAGAGCACGCAGGAGAGTTTTTGCAAGGTTGCTATATGATACTTGCTGTGCTGAGAGCTTAGTAAAGTCCCTCTGGTCAAA